GAACTATTACTGATACGACTGCTTGCTAAACCAGGAAAATCAGCGCTAAACGCAGCTGCTAATGTTGGAATAGAGAGATAGCTATATAGAGCCGGGAGAAAGAGAAGAAAGTGTAGTCTGATTGCGCAGCTCTGGAAGCGGTTACATTAGCGCCACTTATATTAAAAGCCTGCTCGTGATTAGTTAAAAACAAACAAAGGACACAGCTTCGTTTAGCAAAGAAGAAACAGGGTGGGGCAATTGCCTGCAAATGATGGAAGGCGAGATCCACCGGCTACCTACAACATCCTTAACCTTAACCTTATATACACGTACGCTATTTAGGTCCAAGAAATTGCAGTCGGGCATGACGAAGTCTCGATATCGTCACTAACATACCCTAAAGAGTGAAAAATCGGCATACCGGAGTGGCCGTTGGCAGATGGAGGATTGTTCTCGTTTTGATCATATCCAGAATTTTTAGTTATGCAGAATTTTAAGCGATGGCTCAAAATGTAAGGGTGTTAATTAAGGAAATTAAAGAATTTAAGGATGGTTTACAATGGTTTAAAACCAGCGCAGCTTTTGCGAAAAAGTATGGAGTAATAGAATGGGCCCCTAGAGTAATAGATGTACAGCCCGTAATTGCAGAGAATTACGCGGAATGAGATTACTAAATGCGACACCATTTGTTGGACAAGAACTGCTTCTTTATATTTATGACAGGGTTAGCGTGACAGGGAAAACTATCCAAAAATTGAGATCGGGCTAGTTAGTATTCATCTGCAGCTTCTGGAAGCGCGAACAAAAAAGAAAGGAAACATGAGCCACGGAAGAAGTCCACGAGACGTGAACTAATTTCAACAAGCGCAGCAGACCAGTGTAGATTAATAGCACACGTTGTTGGGCTAGCTGGTTCATTGCATCAGGAAAAATATATCCAGCCAACAAGAATGACGAACATAGGAAACGTCTCCTGTCTCCTTTTTCGTTTCCTGTGTTCGTTATTTTACTGGTTGAATATATTTTTTTTCTGATGCATTGGGTGTAGAGCCCTACGAAAAAAGAAAGAGTAGAAGAAAAAGATACAGAAACGCATACTATCGCCAGGGAGCGTCTACACATGTAAACAGGTGCCATCATCTCGTATTTGTTATGCGCTTTCAGAAGCTAAAAAAAGTTTCTGTCGTACGCTAAGATACTGCACCGATATATTCATGCTTGCAGGCACGTGTGCTATATGCGCATGCGTGAGGGTTTCTTTGTGCGTTTGTATGTGCGTGAGGGTTTCTTTGTGCGTTTGTTTGTACTGCTTTAAGTACTCATTCTTTCCGATAGCCACTAATGAATGGAATAAACTGGATCCGAGTATCTCCAGCACTACTGAATTAGCAAAATTTCTAACCCTTGTCGAAAATGAACTTTGTATTATGCAAACGGAATCACCTGGTTGATTTTAATATGAGTGTTCGTGTGAACATTGTACGAGCAAAGTATCATGTCATCATATTTTTTCTTTAAGCAATTTTTAGTACTGAATACAGGTGAAGAGAAATCGCTGTGTTGATTCTTGATCATGTTTCTGTTTTTCAGTGTGTATAAATTTGCCCTTCCTTGAAATACTTCGCCATATTGTAGGGTAGTTTCTTATTGCTGTAATTTCTTGTTGTGTTTCTTGATGCATATGCCAATATGTCAACCAATGTGTCAACCAAGTCGCTGCATTTATTTTCTTCTGACTTTTCTTTACACTAATGTTTTATGCCTTCTTTGATCTGAAACTGTTAAATGATCCGATTCTGTTAGTTTCATTCTGTACTTTATCGCGATGTATGTCTTTATTGTGTACTTATTCCAATTTTTATGTTCACGCCCTTCCTGCTAAAATCCCTAATGGGATTGGCAGTATGTCGAAATTATAAATAATATAAATAAATAATAATAATATGACTTTGTTGTGTAACAACCGAATAAGGAAACGAAGTTCGTAGGTGGAAAGTGAAAAAAAAAGAAAGGAAAGACACAAGCTCGAAAGCGTTTTGTAGATGGCGTACCTATTACTCATTTTTTATCTCCTCTCGCTTCCCAACCCATTTTACACAGCCTTTGAGGGTGAAAGGAAGAACGAATACATACATTACACAGCGTTCATGGCAGAAACAAGCGAACGCGAAAAGGGCCATTGGTGCCACGCCGCGGTGGTCTAGTGGCTAAGGTACTTCGCTGCTGACCCGCAGGTCGCGGGATCAAATCACGGCTGCGGCGGCTGCATTTCTGATGGAGGCGGAAATGTCGTCCCGTGTGCTCAGATTTGGGTGCACTTGAAAGAACACCAGGTGGTCGAAGTTTCTGGAGCCCTCCACTGTGGCGTCTCTCATAATCATATGGTGGTCTTGGGACAATAAACTTCACATATCAATCAATCAAGGGCCGTTGGTTATTATGACGTATGTCGTCCGGGGACTGTTCGGGGGAGCTATACTCCAGGGGCTGTCAAATTGCGGAGCGTACTTGCGATGGAGTTCTCGAGTGCAAGGCGTTCGTGAATATAACAACTGCAGTAGTTTATATGAGCTTACACAATAAAAATACCCCAAAGGCTCGTTAAAAAATGGCTTTTCCTATAGCTTCTCTGTGTAAATTCTTGCCACGTCCTCGGCATTTATATTTATTTTCCAGCTGTTAAGTCCCCATAAAAATTCTCATTCCCAATTTTTTCAAAGCTCTCATATTTTTATTTCAGAGGGGACAGTGGAATATAGTTTTCAGCTTTTCTAGTACATTAAATGTATCTCTATCCACCGTGGTAGCCATGCGCCTATGCGTTGAGCTGCTGACCGTGATGTAACGAATTCGTTTCCAAGTCACTGTCGGCAAATTCACACTCCTATGCTACAACCTCGATTAGAGGCTTCAAGTTTCAAGACCTTGTAAAGACATCTGAGACGACTAAAACAATCAGAAGTATTACCCCAGCCGATTCTTTCACGGTCCATGGGCAGACTTGTGAAGTCCAAAAATCAAGCAATATACGAATAACTACAATCACTCTGACTTCAACGAACGAGTTATCTACACTTAGAGAGTCATGCAGGTTACAATGCAAAAAACATTTACAGATACAGGTAGACTAACCTGAATGTTTGACCAATCCATACCGATGCCCGCAGTGGAGTACGCGCACGCACGGGTTTCTGCTCTCACACACACCGACGCTTCGAAGGAGCGCGCGAACGAGCCGGAGATGCAATCAGGCGAGAGGAAATGAGCCGCAGATTCACCGGTCCGCCGTCCCAACTGGAGGAGTGCGCAAGAGGAGGTTCCACGATGTGAGCGAACAATAAAATTCTCTTCTCGTCCAGATGAACGGCACGGTTTCGTGCGGTAATCAACGCCGGGTCGGTTTTCTCCGCTTCGTCCAACGCCCGGCGAACAAAAGGCACGGATCACGCCCCCGCGAAGGTGAACGGGGAGGATGTATATACCGGCTGACAGAGAAGACGAAGGTCTACGGCTGTGTTACTTCCTTTTTTGTTTTCGCCGGGTATCTTACAGATGGGGCGTGAACTTGGTTGCGAAGACGCGATGATGAGCGTTTCAATTCACCCGTCGCGGCGCGAATGAGCAATAACACTACGCTCGAAGATACACAGCACGCTTCATTTGCGATGATCGGCCGGCTCCACGCGCGCACGCTAGCCGGGAGACGATTATTCTCACGTTGGGTCTCTTGACGAAGGATCCGCGATCGAGGCCTCTCTTTATGGACTCCCGGCGCAACCTGTCGATTTCGGTCTAGGGGCCCCAGTAAGACCGGTATGGCACGTCATAAGCGACGAAAAGACCGACGCTCCTTCCTCCGATGCGACGGACCGAACTTTCTGGCTGGCCGGAACACGCCGAGGAAGACGGGAAGTGAAAGAGCGAAAGGAGGAGAAAGGGTAAACACAGAAACGGAGACACGCGAAATACAAAACGGTGCTCCGCGAGGGCCGAGAAAGACGAGAGAGGGATGGCCGGCTTTCACTGAACCGGTCACCTTTTTGTCGGTGGACCGTGCAGGGCCTCACTTCTTTCCGTTTCGTCATATCCCGCTCCAATTGTTGTTTTTGATTTCACTTTCCCGTCTGAGTTAGTAATGGACTTTTCTTGACTCTGTTTATGCTATTTTGCATAGTTTCGTGATGTTCGTCGTGTAGCACTGCCTGGTTGCGTCATCGGTGGTCGATGAAGCGAGTGGGCGGTCATCGTCTACGTTGTGTTCTCGAAGGAATTGAAAAAAAAAAGAGAGATTAACAGAGTGCCGAAGTTACGTCACTGCCTTGTTTTTTTCTTCTTTGGGTCATTGCGATGCCGGGAGAGAAAGTGTATTGTGGTCTGCTACAGCGAAATAAAGAAAAAAAAACGTGTAAATACAACACAGGCAGGTGATCTACATTTCGTAAGGCCCTAGACAGATAACAAAATGTGGATGTGACAGCAAGTGTTGAAAAACACGCCCTTTACTGATAGATAATTAATATTACACATGCCACAGCCTGAACATCAACCCTGACTGTAGATAGAACGTGAAATAAAGATCCCTCTCCTCCATTCTCATTTTGTTCGGCTCCCCCCCCCCCCCCCCCCCCCCCCTGCCCCTTCATGTTACTAGACTATAAGCCTCAGTCCACTTGTCTCTTTTAGAGCTGTCAAATTAGGTCTCTTTAATTTCTTCAGTTCAATACATTGTGAAATTTTCGCTTACTGTCCGTCATGCTCGACGATATGCGCGTAAAATCCATGGTTGCAAGAGATGAATGACGGGCAATTAAATTTTTCTTCTCAAAGTACGCACATAAGCCTTTGAAAAGTAGTCATATTGCGCTTTTTCACGCCTGTCTAGTAAACGTGGATGAAAAGTAGATCACTTGCTTTTTTTTTAAAGGAAAAAATGGGATATTGATCGTCGCCTTAGCTGCCATGCATAGCACGTTTCCTGGTCTGGGTATCGTACCAACCACTGCCTATTTTCTTCTCACCTTCTCGCGATTGTTCATGAGTTTGTTGTCGGAAGTCATGGACCCCCTGCTTCTTGAAACCTGGTTCACACACATCTTTATGCCATATTGCTAAAGCGCAGCTCAGTTTGAGCATGAAGAAAAGAAGCAAAGTGAAGAAGGGAAAGTCAGGCAATACTATGAACGCTCTAGACTTCCAGCTTTTGTTCATTCATGCTCAAACTGTGCCGCGCGTCTTATACACGACACTGTAATTCACCAACTTGTCTAATCAGGAGTACTTTTCAGGTTTCTGGATCACAATGCGAAAAATCCGCGCATCTTCACGAAGTGAATGATGACGAGTAGCCGAAGCTAGGCCTTCAGGTCCACATACTGTCCACGTCGAAGTCGCTGGCAAGAGGAAGGACAGATGGACGGACAGATGGATGAACAGACAGATGCACGGACGCACCAACGGACGGACAGATGAACGGCGTAGCCGATCATGTATTGTGCGGTCGCACACTTGATTTATGTACACACATAGCGTTTTTTTTTACGCATATGTTTTCATTTTTTGTTGTGCAGGTGTTAAGTTTTGGTTTCCGTTTTGGTGTAGCGTGACGGACGCCGAACAAGGCTAGGCTCCGAGCAGCTTCGCCCTTATTAAACTGTACCGCATGGCTTATCGAGAGCTTCGTACGCAAGATGGCTCATAGGCCACCGGCTTGTGCATTGTTGAGACGCTCGTGCTTCGCCTTTTAAGAATTTAACATGTTTTTTAGCGAAACATGAAACGAGGAAACTGGCTTGGTGATTGGTTCCATACATCACCAAGTTAGGTCTGCCTATGAAACCTACAGCATCGTCCTCCTCTTCCTTCTGCCAATAGCGGTCGAGTTTACCAGACCGTTTTGTTTAGCCGTCGAAACGGTATAACGACCCACCGCAGGCGCACGTCCGAAAGCGTGAGCAGCCGTCTTCCTCGCGTTTGACGTGAATAGAGGACAGCGTAACGAAAGCGCTGGACACGCGAACTCGACGCGCTGCGACGTGGCCGAGCGAACGGCCGACGTCTCGGGCGATCGACTCGGCTGTCACCTCGATTCGGCACCGCACAGAGCGCGATCAGGGAAGGTGTCGCATGCCCGCTGTGCTTTTTTCTTTTCTCTTTGCACTTGCCGGCACCTTGCGGAGTGAGCGAAACGAATAGAAGAAAAGCGTATATATATACCAAAGTATACACTCGGTAGGCAGAGGCACCTGTAGTGCCCCGCAGATGCTTTAGCGCGCACCGCGGGACGCCTGCAGCCGAAACGTCGGGCTCCTAACGACATGCGTGCGGTTCCGCACGGCATGACGTGAACTCACGCCGTGCAGAAAGGGAAAAGGGCAAAAGTGTTGCTTTGAAAGCGAGATTGTAAAGAAAAAAAAGAGAAAAAAAAGCAATGAAGGCAGCTTCGAACTAAAAGGGTGTGAATTAAGTGCGGAGTTGGGCGGCTTTCTCTGTTTCTCTTTCTTTTCTCTATTCTTAACACTTTTTGTATCTGTTTATTAACTTTATTTTATTTTTCATGCTCACGAGCTTGGCTCGTGTTCGTCTGAGCCGAAGCTGCGGATTCGCAAAGTTTGGTGCTCGGCTTGCGCCTGTCTTCCGAAGATGATGTCTATACCGGGCACCAGATGACGCTTCACCTCCGCTTCTCTCTTGATCTTTTCATTGATCAGAAGGGATGCATCCCTTCTAATCAAAGAAAAGATTAGAAGAAAGGGAGATCAGTGGCTGGCAGAAGTGCGTAAAAAAATATAAAGGCAGCTGCGAAATTTTGGAACCATCTAAACTGCCTAAGAAATGAGACGAGCCTAGAGCAGAGGTTTATAACTACAGCTCAAGGTGCTAGGCTATAAGGGGACGAAGCTATTGAATATATAAGAACAAGGGTGACAAAAGAATTTCAACAAAGAAGTGCTTTATGCACCACGATAAACAAGCATAAATCAAGTGGCGCAATGGCTCCATTTTCACAACGAGACTGGGAAAGAGCTGAGAAAAGGGTTCCGTGTAGTACATCAACAGGCCCAGATGGCATTCCAATTATGCTGATAAAGACATTAGGTCCGAAGTCTAAGCAGGCTTTGAGAGAGGCAGTGAACAAAATAATAATCGATGGAGAAGTTTCCGATGGATGGAAACTTTGCAGGATGAGCACGATCTATAAAGGAAAGGGGGACAAAGCTGACATAAACAACTACCGTCCTATAACAGTGACATCAGTGGTCTACAGGCTGGTGATGCAGATTATAGAGGAAAGACTGCAGGCATGGATAGAGGATGAGGGGGTGCTGGGGGAACTGCAGAATGGGTTTCGGAAACACAGGAGTTGGAAGACAATCTGTTCTCACTGACGCAGTGCATCGAAATAGCAGAAAAGGAACACAGGTCCCTGTGGCTAGCATTTTTTGATATCAAGGGAGCGTACGATAGCGTGTTTCAAGAGGAATTGTGGGGAATACTGGACACACTAGGTGTGGAAGATGCAGTCACTAATCTTTTAAAGGATATCTATAAAGGTAAAAAGGTAATTATAAAGTCGAAAAAACAGGTGTCCAAGCCTGCAGAGGTGAAACGGGGGCTTAGGCAGGGATGTCCCCTGTCACCCTTATTATTCATGATGTACCTACAAGTATTAGAGGCCAAATTATAGTGAAGTGGACTGGGCTTCAGCCTCTCTTTCGTCAAACAAGGAAAACTCATTGAACAGGCACTACCAGCATTGATGTACGCAGATGATATAGTGCTCATGGCTGACATCAAGGAAGATTTGCAGAGATTGGTGGACATCTGCGGTAATGAGGAAGATAGGTTACATTTCAGATTCAGTAAGGAAAAATGAGCAGTCATGAAAAGCTACTGTGGGTCCTGCAAGTCGCCAACCCACCTCATGACCTAGCCGCTTAGAATACAGGAGGTCACGCCAGAGATAACAGATAAATACAAATATCTGGGCGTATGGATAAGCAATGGGGCCGAGTACCTAAGGGAACACGAAACATACGTGACGACTAAAGGTAACAGGAATGCAGCGGTAATGAAAAACAGGGTACTGTAGAATTACAATAAGTATGACGTTGTGAGAGGAATATGGAAAGGGGTCATGGTTCCTGGTCCGACGTTCGGCAATGCAGTCTTGTGCATGAGATCAGTAGTTCAAGCAAGATTAGAAATCAAGCAACGTGGAATAGGTAGGCTTGCCTTAGGAGCTCACGAGAATATACCAAATCAGGGAGTACAAGGTGATTTGGGATGGACATCACTTGAGGGCAGGGAAGCTAGCAGCAAGATAAAATTTGAGAAGCGATTGAGAGAAATGGGGGAGGAGCGTTGGGCTAGGAAGGTATTCAGCTACTTGTACATGAAGAATGTCGATACAAAATGGAGGAAACGAACTAGAGAGAGAGAGAGAGGGAGAGAATTTATTTACAGAAAAGTAGAGAGGTCGGCCTGAGCTATAGTTTGCTCTGGCCGGCTACTCTACACTGGGGAAGGGTGACTGGGAAGTGAAAGAGTGATGAATGACGATGGTAAGGTAGAGAGATGATATGTTCTTATTAGGTTGGGTAACTCTACAGATGTTCATCCAGTCCAGTGGCTTCTAAGAAAGCGATGACGGCTCGTATAACCACATGTGTGCTGCTGGCGTCAGGCCAAGGACCTAACACAACCTCATCGGTTAATGGTCGACTAATATATCGGCCAATCGAAGATATAAGTTGCTGACGTTCGCTTGCATATGCTGGACAGTCGCAAAATATATGTTCGAGCATTTCTGGCAACCGACAGTGACCGCAATTTGGACCTGTGTCATTACAGCCAATCAAGTGGGTGTAACGTCTCGTGTGAGCCACACCGAGGCGAATGCGGTGGATAATGCATGAGATGCTTCGCTTTAACTTGTGAGGCATACGGAACTTCATTTCCAGGTTCCATTTGTGCAGCCGCTTGTGCTTGTGTTCTGGTTTCTGCCAGTGCTCTAAGATGGAGTTGCGCATTACGCGTCGAAGTAGGATGTTAGTATCTTGTCGAGAAAATGCGATGCACACTTCCGGGGCACTATTTAAAGCCCTTTAAGCTTCAGCGTCCGCCTCTTCATTGCCCATTATGCCACAATGAGCAGGTATCCATTGAAATGTTACATGATGTCCATTCTTTGTAGCAATGCCAAGAACTTCTGTAATTTCAATCGATAAATTATGATATGGACCTTGTCTCTTGAAGCCATCGATGGTTTGAAGAGCAGCTTTGGCATCGCACAGTATCGTTCATTTACGAGCGGGTTCTGTCGACATGAAACGTATTGCCTCCCGAATAGCAACAAGTTCCGCGGCTGTTGATGTGGTCTTGTGATCTATCTTGAAACGTCGAGCTATCTTCATTTGCGGGATGACAAAGGCTGCGGCGTAGGTACGCGACGTGGTATATCCATCAGTATATACGTGCGCCACACCGTCGTACATAGTATAAATGTGCAGCTGTGTAAGTTGCTTTAGGCCGATCGATGATACAAGGGACTTCTTCAAAATCCCAGGAATCTGAAGTACGACAAGCGGTCTAAGCAGGAGCCACGGAGGTGTCTCAGGAACACGTGGGGGAGAGAATCTTGGCGGTATGATGTTCTCGAGCCGCGATACAGCTCTTGAATAACTGCAGTCACAGTGGCTGGCAAGGAGCGCTGATAGGGGATGTTGCCTGTGTCGGGTCAACAGGCGAAGGTGGACTCGAAGAGGCTCGCAGAGCGCATATACTTTGATTGAACAAGCCCGAGCTTCGGCGAGAGTTCCCTTGGTTGATGTGCACTCAGGTAAGCCCAAACGTGTGCGCAACACTTGAGCTTGGATGCTTTCTAGTGTGCTCGCACAACTGGGCTTCACGGTTGAAAGCACGGGCATGCTGTATCATAAGTACCCTACGGATAAAGATTGGTACAGTTGCAGGAGAGCTGCCTCCGAAGGGCCCCATCTTGCTCCGGCCATGGCCCAAAGAACGTGGACAAAACTCTTGAGCTTTGACTTCAAGGCTG